CGAAGTTACGAATCTAATTTGCCGACTTCCCTTACCTACATTATTCTATCGACTAGAGGCTGTTCACCTTGGAGACCTGCTGCGGATATGGGTACGATCAGGCAGGAGATTTTAAATTGCCTCCCTCGTATTTTCACGGCTCATGTGGAGCACACGGGACACAACAGGAACCGCTGCGCTTTACGAGACCAGCATCCCTATCTCAGGCTGAGCCACTTTCAGGGACATGATCTCTAAACCAGAAAAGAGAACTCTGGCCCGGACTCCACACGAGGTCTACGAGTTCGTTTGCGTCACCGCGCAAAGTAATCCTTGCGGATCACCATCTCCCATGCCTGGTGTGGGAATATTAACCCACTTCCCTTTCGGCAACCGAGTAGACAATATACCGTTAAGTATCTCATCTCCCCGCAGTGTCTAGACGGCTTTAGCCGGTGCCTTAGGATCGACTTCGCTTTGAAAGAAAATGACCCTGAACCAGACATAGCAAAGGGTTTGACCCCTATGCGGCAATATGCGTTCAAAACTTTTATGCTCAAGGCTGCTGCAGTTCGCAAAACTTATCGCAGTTTGCTGCGTTCTTCATCGATCCACGAGCCTAGTGATCCACCGGAAAGGCTAGGAATTTTGTTTTTTTTTAAAATATAGAGAAAAAAAGAGTGCTGGCGTCCTCACTTAAGAGGCTCATTAAGTCTTAAACTCATTATAGTCCTAACATGTCACCACATATACAGCCACGGACGTTCACAACTGTATCAGCAACACCTAGACACCAGCGACAGCCGTTACACAACAATTATTTCATTGCGATTCAAAATTGAACATCACATAAAGTAATGATCCAGCAGCAGGTTCACCTACAGCTACCTTGTTACGACTTTTGCCCGGTTCAAGCCACTGCGATTAAATTGGTTTCCATCAAAATAATTTAGATAAATTAAATCAACGGTCCCCAAATTTCTCGAAATGGCTCAGTCCCGGGCAGCGACGGGCGGTGTGTACAAAGGGCAGGGACGTAATCAACGCGAGCTGATGACTCGCACTTACTTGGAATTCCTCGTTCACGGAAAATAATTGCAATTTCCGATCCCAATCACGGCAAATTTTCAATGGTTTACCCGCCCCTTTCAGGGTAGGACAAGTTCGTTGATTTTGCCAGTGTAGCGCGCGTGCAGCCCCGGACATCTAAGGGCATCACAGACCTGTTATTGCTCAATTTCTTTCGGCTGAACGCCGCAAATCCCTCTAAGAAGCTGTATACACAAAGAGTATGTATCAGCTATTTAGTAGGTTAGAGTCTCGCTCGTTATCGGAATAAACCAGACAAATCACTCCACGAACTAAGAACGGCCATGCACCACCATCCACTGAATCATGAAAAAGCTATCAATCTGTCAATCCTCACAGTGTCCGGGCCGGGTGAGTTTCCCCGTGTTGAGTCAAATTAAGCCGCAGGCTCCACTCCTGGTGGTGCCCTTCCGTCAATTCCTTTAAGTTTCAGCTTTGCAACCATACTTCCCCCGGAACCGGAAGACTTTCGTTTCCGGGAAGCTCCCCACCAAGGCAATATAATTTCCATCAGCGGATCGCTAGTTGGCATCGTTTACGGTCAGAACTAGGGCGGTATCTGATCGCCTTCGAACCTCTGACTTTCGTTCTTGATTAATGAAGACATTCTTGGCAAATGCTTTCGCTGTAGTTTGTCTGGCCACGGTCCAAGAATTTCACCTCTCACGGGGCCATACAAATGCCCCCGTTTGTCTCTGTTAACCATTATCTCAGTCCGTAAAACCAATAAAACTGAACCGAAATCGTTTTCTATTATTCCATGCACGATCATTCAAGCGAAAACGCCTGTTTGAAGCACTCTGATTTGTTCAAAGTAAACTTGCAATGACTGTTAAGAATCCTGTTAAGGACTCAAAACCGAACATTACGATAAATCGATAACACCCAGAAACACCCGAAGGGTTCCAAGGTACCGATACGAATCCAACTACGAGCTTTTTAACCGCAGCAATAATTCTATGTATTAGCAGAGCTGGAATTACCGCGGCTAGTGGCACCAGACTTGCCCTCTGCTTGATACTCGTTAAAGGGTTTAAATTGTACCCATTCCGATGACCGGCCTCAAAGAGAACAGTCTCGTTATTTTTCGTCACTACCTCCTCGAGCCGAGAGTGGGTAATTTGCGCGCCTGCTGCCATCCTTAGACGTAGTGGCCATTTCTCAGGCCCCTTCTCCGGAGTCGAACCCTGATCCTCCGTTATCCGTCACCACCACGGGAGTCGATTATGCTCCCGTCAAGTTGATAAAGTGGACGCTTGAAAGACACGCCGCCGGCACAAGGCCATGCGGTCAGCTTAGTTATTCTGAGTCAACAAGAAGCAGCCGAAGCCGCGTGGTTTTGTTCTAATAAATGCGCTTTTCCGTGAGGACAAAGCTTTGGTGCATGTATTAGCTCTAGCTTTTCCACAGTTATCCATTTAGATAATCAAGATCAAGTAAATCATGGCCATTGTAATGAGCCTTTCGCGGTTTCTCGTTAAAACGATTAAACTTATACATGCATGGCTTAATCTTTGAAATGAACACATCAGTTCAGGCAGGATCAACCAGATATCTTTTATTTAGGTAGTTAGCAGAGCTGGAATTACCCAGTCTGCGGGTAATTAAGCCAGGCATTTTTGGTTTATGAGTCTGTGACGATCCGATTAAAAATTGCCTCAGGCAAAGTAGACCAAAGTGCAATTGACCAAGTGTCGTAGGGTTCAGGCAATAGGGTTTTTGGTTTATGAGTCTGTGACGATCCGATTAAAAATTGCCTCAGGCAAAGTAGACCAAAGTGCAATTGACCAAGTGTCGTAGGGTTCAGGCAATAGGGTTCCCCCAGGCAATCAAATTTCACCAGGCATTTTTGGTTTATGAGTCTGTGACGATCCGATTAAAAATCCCCCCCCCCCAGTCAATCAAATTTACCCAAGGCAATCAAATAATCGACTCAAGTAAAATATATACTCAAGTAAAGGTATGTATATATAAACTACAATTTATAAAAAAGTTAAATAATTGTTTTCTATAGACTCAAGTGTGTTTTCTTAGACTCAAGTTTTTGCCAAAGCATTAAAAAAAGATTACGACACCCCCGATTCCCAGGACGTCTCCGTTCCAAGTACTAAGGAAGCCCAGCGTTGCTTAACTTGCCAGATCGGACGGGATGGCGTGCTTTCAACGCGGTATGGTCGTAATCACTGTGTTTTCAATTTCTCAATATTTAAGAAAAAATTCTCTAAGGCAAAGTGGGCGGGGCTATTTGTTGTTCGCTGTTCGCGGGAATGGTTTAAGGCAAAAAGAAAATGGGCAATTATAAAAATGTGTGGGAGGAAAATTAGGATTAAAAAAATTTTTTTGAAGAATTAAATTTTTTAAAAAAAATAAAGCTTATAATAATAAACTTTAATCTTTTTTTAAATTTAAAGTTTATTATTATAAGCTTTATTTTTTTAAAAAATTTACTGTTATTATTATATTAAGCTTTATTATCAGTTTATTTTAAAGCAGCTTTATTCTAAATCTGATAATAATCATAAGCTTTATAATCCTAATTTTTCTCCAGCTGCAATATTTATTTGGCTCCAGACAATTGTCAGGAATTGCCATTGATAACTTTTGTGAAAGTGCCGCTGATAAATTGTAAATAATTTAGATATCTTTTGCAAAGGAAATTAAATATATAATAAGCTGTCATTAATTTTTAATTTCAGATTATTTTCGAGATTTTATTCCAAAATTATCAATATAATCAATATTAATGACAGCTTAATTACCCGCAGACTGGGTAATTCCAGCTCTGCTAACTACCTAAATAAAAGATATCTGGTTGATCCTGCCTGAACTGATGTGTTCATTTCAAAGATTAAGCCATGCATGTATAAGTTTAATCGTTTTAACGAGAAACCGCGAAAGGCTCATTACAATGGCCATGATTTACTTGATCTTGATTATCTAAATGGATAACTGTGGAAAAGCTAGAGCTAATACATGCACCAAAGCTTTGTCCTCACGGAAAAGCGCATTTATTAGAACAAAACCACGCGGCTTCGGCTGCTTCTTGTTGACTCAGAATAACTAAGCTGACCGCATGGCCTTGTGCCGGTGGCGTGTCTTTCAAGCGTCCACTTTATCAACTTGACGGGAGCATAATCGACTCCCGTGGTGGTGACGGATAACGAAGGATCAGGGTTCGACTCCGGAGAAGGGGCCTGAGAAATGGCCACTACGTCTAAGGATGGCAGCAGGCGCGCAAATTACCCACTCTCGGCTCGAGGAGGTAGTGACGAAAAATAACGAGACTGTTCTCTTTGAGGCCGGTCATCGGAATGGGTACAATTTAAACCCTTTAACGAGTATCAAGCAGAGGGCAAGTCTGGTGCCAGCAGCCGCGGTAATTCCAGCTCTGCTAATACATAGAATTATTGCTGCGGTTAAAAAGCTCGTAGTTGGATTCGTATCGGTACCTTGGAACCCTTCGGGTGTTTCTGGGTGTTATCGATTTATCGTAATGTTCGGTTTTGAGTCCTTAACAGGCTTAACAGTCATTGCAATTTTACTTTGAACAAATCAGAGTGCTTCAAACAGGCGTTTTCGCTTGAATGATCGTGCATGGAATAATAGAAAACGATTTCGGTTCAGTTTTATTGGTTTTACGGACTGAGATAATGGTTAACAGAGACAAACGGGGGCATTTGTATGGCCCCGTGAGAGGTGAAATTCTTGGACCGTGGCCAGACAAACTACAGCGAAAGCATTTGCCAAGAATGTCTTCATTAATCAAGAACGAAAGTCAGAGGTTCGAAGGCGATCAGATACCGCCCTAGTTCTGACCGTAAACGATGCCAACTAGCGATCCGCTGATGGAAATTATATTGCCTTTTATTAGAACAAAACCACGCGGCTTCGGCTGCTTCTTGTTGACTCAGAATAACTAAGCTGACCGCATG